CCTTCTTGGTGGTTATACATGCATCTGATCTGTCATTGTTGTTTCCCAGAGCCCACAAACATATCACATTGTTTGTAGTTATGCTTTAGTAGTACATTTTTAAAACATTTCTTCAGCTGACTAGATTTGTAACCTTGCCACTTCTGCTTGAGTTCTGCAGATAGATATTTACTGGGTCTTTCTGTGTGTCCAGCACAGCATTCACCAAACAGCAACTGCTGACAGATTGGTTATTTTAAATGTACCATCCACTTGGAACTTTTCCCCTTATTAAGACTCACTTCAAGTCATGTAAAGGAAAGGGCATCTATTACGCTCTTATTCTGTGCTGAACATTGAAGTTTTCCAACCAATTGTTCCTCACCCAGTCCTGCCCCAGCTTTTGGCAGGTAAGGAAGCAGAGGTTCAGACAGGGTGAAGGGACTTGTCTAAGGTCACCAAGTTAGCTATGAGACTCTAGGCTTCCTCACTACTGCCCAAAGCATCTTTAGACTGTTTATTTTTCAGTTTAATTCAGTACACACTTACACATTCATCCCCTATTATTATACATAAGGCACTGTGATATGTACTAAGGATACAGAAATGAAAAGCCAGAGTCTCTAGGTTCAAGGAGCATTCAGTTCACTAGAAGAATCAAATATGTGCAAAGATAAGTTTAATTATACAAGATAGAATGTGACAGAGACAAAGAAGAGTGCAAGGTAAGACTATTTCATCTGGGAGGATCTGGAAAGGCTTCATGGAAGAGACAATACTTGAGCTGATTCTTGAAGAGATTCTCTAATGCCCCATGCAGACATGAGGAGGGCTTGTTTCCTAGACCTTATGAACATCCTATGTGAATTTATAAAGGTAAGAAAGACCTAGATAAAATCAGAGGACAATTTTGTGAGAAACATAGATTTTATGAAGGCAAATAACAAAATTGTGCTGTAAAGGCAGGGTAGAGCCAGACTGTGTAGGGCCATAAATGCTAAGCTCACAAGTTTGTCTTTTAACATAATAAGCATTTATTCTAAAAGCTTTTCAGTAGAGGAATAGCATGTAAGAAGTTCACATGAAGAAGATTCTATATTAACTCTGGGGTTGTTTGTTGTTGTTTGTCCTTCGTTCTCAAAGAGAACCAATGACACCAGGAGGGTGATGTCTTGGCTTGCAAGTGAATTGGATTTAAGTGAGGCAGGGCTGTGCAAAGTCATCAATGTCCAGTGGCAAGACATGGGTCAGGACAACTGGCAATAGCCCCAGATGTAGTGGGAGACCCTGGCCTTTTTAAACTACAGTCTTTCTCAGTTTGTCTGAGGCAACACCCATTCATTGACTAAAGCCTAGGCAAGGATTGAGACAAACCTAGTTTGGCTTCCCAAAAGAATCAGTCTAAGAGGGGAAGACTCTCAGAGTTTGCTCCTTGGTAAAGAATGGAATAGATAGAGAGAAAGACTACGTAAAGAAAGGGGATTATTACAACAGACCAGACAGACAATGATAAGGTCCTAGACTAAATTAGTGGCAGTGTGAATAGAGAAAACATTGCTGCATTAGAGATATGTTACAAAAGTAGGATCAATATAGCATGGCAGCTCACTGACTGGGATAAATAGAAAAGATACCAGAGTCAGAGTTGATTCTGAAGTTTCAGGCCTTGGTGACTGGAAAGGTGGTAGTATCATCACCAGAAACAGGGAAATAGGAAGGTGGAACAGTTTTATTGAGGAAGATGATTTTCATTTTTGGACATAATAAGTTTGAGGTACAGCAAGACATCCACTTAGAAATATCCAACAGGCAGTGAGAGACTGAATCTCCAGGGAAAGAGGACTTTATGGCTTTAAAATACATCTGTACATAGAGGTGACATTTGAAACCATGGAATAGATGAAGTCCCCAAGGCAAAAACGATATAGAGAGGGATTGCAAAAAAGGGTCAAGGATGGAATATTTATTGCCGTATTTATGTGGTCAGAGAACAAACCACTAAAGGAGACTGCAGGGATTGATCAGGCAGGAAGAGAATCTGTACAGAGCAATATAATAGAGGCCATGATAAAAAAAAAAAATTATCAATAGAGGTGGTTATAATCAGCTGCATCAGATGCTATGTTATGGATACTGTATCCAAAAGGATGATAAAAAGTGATATTTGATTTAGCAGTAGATCATTGGTGATCAGTATTGTTATTTCCCAAGGACAATCCAGTTTCCCTAATATATAGAGACGATGCTAGTCTGTGGCAAAATGTTCCTCAAGTTGTTCACATTCTACTAGTAGGATAGACTATGTAAACAGATAAATATAACATGAAAATTTAAGGACAAGGAAGAAAGCCGTAACAACTGAGGAGATCAAGAAAGCTTTCCAGGAGGAGGTGGGACATGAGCTGAGCCTTGAAGGAAGTAAGGGATTCTAAAGGACAGAGGTCAAACAGTTGATGAAAACATTTCCCTGTTCTTGATAGAAAGATTGGAGATATGGAATATTTCATTTGCTGTCAGATTAGGTCACTGTTGGTTGTTTTGTTTAACTTTTTCATTATTACATGACTTGACTCTACTGGAAGCAGGGTAGGAAATTATGTCAGGAAATGATTGTAGTGTAAAAAAAGAAGGCATCAATAACTTTTTTTCTAAGTTAGTGATATGGCCCCTTTTTCTTCAGCTTTGCCTTTTAGGACCTACTCTTGAAAGCCCCCAAATGAAAATGGCCTGTTTTTTCCCCCTAAAAAAGGCCATTATTCACCTTTGAGAGGCGATGGAAGTGTGAATGGTCATAAGTAAATGGAGGCAGTGAGCAATTGCTCTTTCCATGTGTCATCATCATCACTATGAGATCGTACTTGAGGGGAGTGATTGTCTCAGTTTTATATTTGTATCCCCTTTTCTTAGCACAATGCTTTACATATAGTAAGCACTTGATAAATGCTTTTTTATTCATCCATTCCCCATTTTCGTGTCTTTCCCCATGCCTGGAATGCCCTCCCTCTTTACTTCTACCTCTTGGAATCCCAGGTTTTCTTCAAAATTCAGCCCAGGCACATCCTGCACAAGGCCTTTCCTGATTATTCCAGATGCTAGTACTTTTCTTGCATGTACACACTCCAGTTTCCGTCTTTCTTCTCTGTGTCTATACATATTATCTCCCTGTCAGAGTGAAGCTTCTTAAGGCTGGAGACACTCTCACTTTTTTCTTTGTTTTCCCAGTGCCTGCCTAGTACTCAGCAGGCATTCAATATTTGTTGATGACAAAGTTTGTAACTCCTGTTTGCACTCAGTCCCTCCCACAATATAGTCATATTCCTCAATGAATCAGTGACTTTTACTAATTAATTGCCTGGTGAGTTCATCTGCCATTATCCAAATTTTCCCCAGGAATATTGCATTTTTGTGAACATTATATCATAAATATAGCAAAGTTCCAAGACTGATATAGTGCTCAGTGAACCTGCATATCATATTGATGTGTCTTTTAGGTGGCAGCATTCATGAATAGATAAAAAGGCACTTAGTGACCACTTACTCTGTACAAAGAACTGTACTAAGTATACAAATATAAAAGCAAAGCAGTCTCTACTAGCCTCAGAGAGTTTATAGTCTTGTGGGAAGGTTAACACATATGAAGAGTGGTCTCCAGAGAGAGAAATTTTGGTTTGAAAAGTCACAGGGTTGGTGAATGGATAGGGTATCAGAGTTACGTACCCATGTTGTGTTTCCAGAGCTGGAAGGGAGCAGGGAGTAGGAGAGAGAGGAAGTTAGAGAAAAGGCCAGGGTATAGAGTGAAGGGTGGCTGACAACAGCCTGGACATGGGCCATGAGAGGTATTCATCAGCCAGAATATTTTGGAGCTGAAAGGATTCAACTTTCCATGTTGTGGTCTCCAGGCCAGAGAATAGCAGCGGTAGCCAGGGAATAGATGACAGAGATGTGGGAAGCTGTTAAAGAAGCTAGACAGTCATGTGTGACTGTGTCCAGGTCTGACTGGGTTGGCCCCCTTTGCCTATAACAATCTTCTCTTTGATTTGGAGCAAAATTCATACTGATGCCTTTTTTTTTCCAGGAAAAGAAAAAGTGATTCTAGTTTTATCTCATTTTTATTTCATCAGTTAGAGGTCAACAGTGATCACTTTGTAGTCTGTATAGCAAAATTCAGTGATGACTTTTAGTTCTTTATTACCTCTGACAGTCTAGATTTTCCTTTAGGAAGCCTGATATGGAGCCTTAGTCTTCTCAGCAGCATTTGCCTTACAGCACAGAATTCATAGCACTAAACTTGTTATCAGTCATCAATCTGCTGATTCAGTCCTGTAGCTAAAACATTACCTCCTATACAAAGAGGCCTTTCCTCATTTCCCCCACCTCACCTCCAGCTGTTAGTGCCTGTCCCCAGAAGTCACCTTGAATTTATTTTGTATAGATTTGTATGTATGTCTTCTTGAATGGAAGCTCCTTGATGATAGGAACTGTTTGATTTTTGTTTTGTATCCCCACCCCTGAGCCTGGAACGTAGTAGGTGCTCATTAAATGCTTAACTTGAATAATAATATTAAATTAATGTTTATTCTACCCTGTAACACTGTTAGGAGCTGAGGGAGAGAGAGAAAATTACACAGCCCCAGCACTCCAGGTCCATAAACCTTAAAGAATCCAACTCTTTGATTTTATAACCAAGGAAAACTGAAGCCCAGAGAGGTTAAGGGACATATATCCAAAGTAACACAGCTAGTTGGTGACAGAACCTGGCCTAGAATTCAAATAAACTTTGCAAATACTGTATCCTGACAAATATCAGACTCCAAAAGTTGTTTTCCATACGTTCTCTCATTGTTTCAGATACTTACCTTTGACTTTCTTTAAAGTTTTCTATTTAACTACTTAAGTGACCTTGGGCAAGTGGCTTTCTCTTTCTGGGCATCAGTTTCCCTCCCTGTAAAATGAGGATGTTGTTCTCTTTGATCCCTTAACACTCTTTCAGCTCTAAATCCTTGATCCTCTCTGTAATGCAGATCAAAGGCACAGCTTTCCCCTCCTGCCAAGCACAAGAGAGAGGCCAGTCCACCAGTGGTCCGAACAAGAGGTCAACAGAAAGTGGAAGAACCACCAGCGAAAAAAGCAAAACGGTCATACTGAGCATTTTCTCCCCTGGTCTGAAAAAGTGGTAAGAGAGGCACCTCTCAAGGCATCCACTTTTTCAGAAGGAAGAAGACATGCATGTGCTGTACATTACCAGACACAAGCTTTGTCTTGTTATGTTTTGAACAGCTTTACAAAACTCTTGTTTATAGGAGATATGTACATTTATTTCAGATAAAAGAAAATAAGTTTACTTTGTATCTGAATTTAAAACAAAGTAGTTGTATATTTTAACATTCAAAGTTGGGATTTCCCAATGTGACAGACATCACAAATGCAAAAGCTTCCAACCCACCTGGCACCTGGCTGCCTCCTGATAATCTTTGTACAGTATATAAACATGTAAAAATAGGTTGTATTTTACTCTATGTATGATGCTACTCAATGATGAACACTTTATTTATTTTACAGAGAAGACTTATCTGTGAACTTTACTATATATCTCTGTTTATTTTTATTTTATTCTCTCTTTTTTTTTTTTTAATAAAAACAGGTTTTAAATGCTATGCACTCATCAGTAGGAATTGTTTCAGGCCTCTGCCCTGAACTTATCTGAATATAGTGTGGCAGAAGGTAAAGAATTATTTCGCATGTATTCAAGTAAGTAGATTAGTTAAAGAAAGGGACTCAGTTGTTTTTCTGTTCACAGTTGTGACTATGTTTAAGGAACTGTAACTTGTTTTTAAAATACATTCACATATGTGACTTTATTACCAACCTAAGTGAAGTAAAAATAGTTCTAGTTTAGGAGAATTCATGCCATCTTCAGCAGAAATTTTTCCAGTTGAGATTCAACCCAACTATTCTGTGTTATTTCGAAGCTTACCTTATTCTTTCAGTATTTGTCCTTTTCAATGAAGAGAGATCCATTGAAGATGAAAAAAAACCTTTTCTTCTTATATCTGTAGAGCTTTGGCATTTTATGTTCTGTTTTATACACAGGTATTTCAGAATAAAACCTGGTCTTATGGCCAGAGCCTTTTTTTAACATGTTTTAACTCCCATAAGAACAAACTGTCCAAGCTAAGTTTTTCATAAGATTAAACTTTTCTTAAGATCAAATTTGTGTCTTGCAATGATGTAATAAGTTGCCAAATAATCTGAGATTATTTTACAATGTTGTGTTCATATTCTTATGTTTTATAATTAAAATTTACATTCTGTGTGGTGTTTTTTTTTTGGACTCTTATGTAAGGTGGATATTTCTGTCATTTTACATGGTTTCTTACTGAGATTTTATATATAAATTATAAAATGTTTCCCAAACCGTGAGTTGTAAGATATTTTTCTGTTTTTAAATTCCTCCGATGACTCTTTGGATAGCTAATAAGTCATAAAGTGACAGTACAGCCCTAACCTAACAAACATAGGCTAAAAAATTTTTTTTTTCCCTTATGACAAAATGTTTGACCGAAACTCCATAGAATTTGTAGAGCTAGAAGGGACTTTAAGCATCATTTAGTGCAACCCCTTGATTCTCTGAAAAGAAATGTGAGATAAAAGTATACACAAAAATGCTTTGTAGAACACCACAATAAATGTGAATTGCTATAATAATTAAGAGACACCTTTAAGAATATTTTGCTTTTAGTCTACTTCACCTGTCTGGATGTATCACAGAATCCTAACATATTTTAAAATATGTACTGTTTTTATGATTTTTCCACAAAGACCACTGAAAGAAATTTTTCTTTATAAACTACCATTTTTTAGGTCCTCAAATACATTACTATAAGCACCCTTGCTTTGCCTTGAAAATAAACTGCTGAATAGGAAGCTCCCTGGTCTCCTCCTGTATGCCCAGAAAAATAGAGTCAAGTAGAAATAAATAGAATTTAAGACATTTAGAGAACTGAGCTCTCAAACAGATCTGCTTCCTTCTACCACAGAACTATAAAAGAGAGCCTATAAGAATCAGAATCTGCAGCTCCTTCATTTTTATAGATGGTGATGCTGAACGCAGTGACTTGTCCAAGGTAGCAGAGCTGATTACTGAGGCAGGAGTAGGACTTGGTCTCCTGACTTAAAATTCAGTATTCTTTTCAGCATGTCCCAGGATAGAACCAGGAATCTATCTGTCTGGTTGTGGCCTACCCAGGGACACATATTGATGGGTGGCAAATGCCTGCTTTTCCAATTGTATACAAAAATGAGTATTTCCAGGCTGTCGGACCCTAAATTAGTATATTGCGGGAATAAAAATAAAGCCATACATATCCAAGTTAACTCTACAGTTTATTACTAGTATACAAGCTGTTGGTGGAAAATTCGAAAAAAATAAAAGGACTGCATCAATCGGCTCAACTACCTATCCATACCTACCCATCTAGTTTCTCAGTACTTATGATCTCTAAAAGGCAAAGACCCCCTTGTGGTATTTCTAGGTAAAATTTGTTTGGCTATTTGTTGGTCTTGTTTTTATATTTAAATACTTTTTTCCTCAACTATTATAAATGTTTACACTAGTTGACTACTAAAAATTATAATTAATTAGACCAAGGATACAAAAGAGGAAGAGAGGTTTACATTATTTGTTTACAGGCATTTATGTGATCTAGCAAATATGATTGAAAAAAGGTTTTGTTTTGGTTTTGTTTTTATTAATACTTTATGGAGCATCCTGAAATTTCAGTGGGCAAATGTTAAATATTTTTCTGAAAAAAGATTATAGTTTCCAAATCTCATCAAGGTATAATGCGAAATGCCTTACTCCAAATGTAATTGTTCTTAACCATTCAATTATCATTACAAATGAAGATGCTTTCCCCATATCCACCAAGAGATTGTATATGAAAATCTTCCTCTCCCTTCTTAGCACTTCTTAGTGATGGTGTAGTCTGGTCTCCAAACAAAAGCAACCATTTAAAGCACTTTAAATCTTTACATTAAGTTTGATCCACTGATTGCAACTTCCTTAAAATGAATTTTGCCTATAAAATAACGTAATTTGTAACTTGTTTTAGAGGTTTATTTTCTTTTTATCGCTATCATATTTTACATTAAAAAAATAGTTTTAAACTAAGAAGGAAAAAAATCAAGAGACTTGTACAAGATCAGAAGTTTTAGCCTACAGAAAAAGGACTGAATATTTAATTCTGAGGTCCAGGAATTGTTTTCATTTTTTGAAAAACAATTATTGTTCCACATGGCAGGAAAAGTTTTTGCTATTGTAATGGATATTATTATAAAATCCATTCTCAACAAAGATATAAAACATATCAGATGCGTGGATGATTCTAAATGTGACAAAACCAGCAAGACACATTGATATTGCTCCTTTCCTTGAAATGTTAGGTCATTTATGAAGCAATAAAACCCATAGTATAATAAAATATTTGCTAATGTAAAAAAAAGTATGCTTTATTATCAAGATAAAGGTTAAGATTCTTCAGCATTGCAAAGGTCATCTTTCTTGGAGTGTTCTCCATTACCTCATCTCTCAATGCTAACCCAGGCCATCACATTGATTATACTTTCCTCCCTTCCCTAATTTGACCCCTGGGTGAATCAATTTAACTCTCTACTATCCTCTACTTTCATTTCCCTTTCCCTCTTTTCCTGTCTCCAGTCATGTCTTCTAAACCCCATCCTAAACCTACTAAACCCCATCTTAAACCTTCTAAACCATCACATGCCTCCTTCACTCCTCTTCATGCTGCTAAACAGAACTAGAGGCAATCATCAAACTCTGCTGACTGGCTATGAGTTTATACTAATTAGTGTTACTTGGTCCCTCACTACAGCAAGGCAGTTTTACCACTCCAGATTTCCTTATCTCACCACAGCAGCTGTTCTAAACCTTTTCTTCTCTTTTCAAGCCTCCCATGACACTTCCCATCTCCCACCCCATACTTCGCTGAAAAAACTGAGACCGTTCACCGAGTGCTCCCTCTTGCTCTAAGTGCCACAAGAATAGAGTGCTAGAGCTAGAGTTTAGGAAAACCTAAGTTCAAATTCTTCAGACACTAGCTTGTGTGACCCTGGGCAAGTCATTTAACCTGTTTGCCTCCTTTGCATTTAAGACAAAGATAATAATAGCACCTACCTCCCAGGGCTGTTGTGAGGACCAAATGAGATAATATTTGTAATACTTTTTGCAAGCCTTTCAGTTCCACATAGACATTAGCAGTTATATCATGATATTGCCTTCCATGATCTTCAAACCAGTTTCTGATGATGAAGTGGCCCTTCTGCTTGCCAAAGCCAAGTCCTTTGTATTCTTCCTTGATCCCATCCCTCAGATCTCTAAAAGCACTGTCATCCCTACTGTCTCTCTAATCTGCCAATGCTCCTTGTCTACTAACTCCTTCCCTGCTTCCTACAGACATGCCCTGGTCTTCCACATGTTTAACCCTCATTTGATCATACCATTCTACTTGCCATCATTCTCTATCTCCTCTTCTCAGCTAAACTCCTTGAGAAATATATCTACAATCTACCCCATGCTTTCACTTCCTCTCTTCAAAACCCTCTGTGATAATAGCTTCTTACCTACATCATCATTCAACTGAAGGAGTTCTCTTCAAAGTTACCAATTATCACCAAATTTAATCAATTTTCATCCTTTTTAACCTTTCTGCAGAATTTGACACTATTGATCACCCTCTCTTACATAGGATAGTTTTTCTTTTTGGGGTTTTCGTGACTGCTTTACCTTGATTCTCCTACCTGTCTGAGCATTCTTCAGTCTTTTGCAGGATTATCATCTGTGTTATGCCCACTAAGTGGGTTTCTCCCAAAACCAGCCTGGACCCTCTTTCCTTTCTATACTATCTCAGGTGATGATTTCATCAGTTCCCATGGCTTCAGTTATCTTTATGCAGATGATTCCCAGATCTGTTTGTCTAGCCCTGGTCTCAGATAAACATCTTTCTGCTGGATATAAACGATTCCATAGGTATCTCAAACTCAGTGTTCCCTAAAATAACTTCTCTGTCCTTGATCTCCGCAAAACCTTCCTGTCTTCCAAATTTTCTTATTTACATCTAATGTGCCACCATTCTTCCAATCACTCGGGTTAGGATTCTCAGCTTCATCTTCAACTCTTCACTTTCATCTGAAATATGAAATCATTGCCAAATTTTGTCATTTCTTTCTCTGCGGCATCTTCCCCATACATCCTTTTTTTCTTTATTCACACAACCATCATCCTAATTCAGATCTCATAACCTCTAGCCCAGACTATCATTTCCTAATTGGTTTCCCTTCCTCCCTCTCCACTCATCCGCTAAAATGATTTTCCTAAAGTGTAGGTCTAATATCACTCCCCTACTCAATAAATTCCAGTGGCTCTCTTTTACCACTAGGATCAAATAGATGCAACAAAGTGCTGGTATTTAAAGCTCTCTATAACCTGACTTTGTAATTTTACAGGCTTCTTACATTTTACTTCTCTTTAATCCAGTGACACTGGCCTTCTTCTTCTACCTCCCTTCTCCATGCCCTTGCATTGGCTGATCTGAATGCCTACAATGCTCTCTCCCTCCTCACCTTCACCTTTTAGTTTTAGTTATGCTTCAAGACAACTCTAATCCCTTCTGCAAGAAGTCTCCCTCCCCCTCACCCCCAGCTTCTAATGCCATCCCCTCTAAGAGGACCTTTTGTCTTTCGCATTGGAATGTTAGCTCCCTGAGAGGGGAGGACTATTTTGCTTCTCCCACCCCTATCCTCAGCACTTAGCACAGTGTCTGCTAAGTAACTGATAAATGGCTTGTTGATTGATTGGAGTTAATCTTTATTATAGCACTGTTGAACCACTGCTTTTTTCTTCGTCAGTTATTCTAGCACATGTCTTTTGTTGATTTGCCTAGCCAGATGAGCTGCCAATTAGATATCTGTTAAGTTCTTGGCACACAGTAGGAGTTTGATAAATGTTTGTCCTCTCCCCCCACTCTACCCCAACTCAATTCTGTTATATATGCCCCATTATTTGAAGGACTCAAATATAGAGCTCATATTGGACACTACATTTATTTCCTCTCTTTAAGCCCTACAGCTTCTCCATCTGAATTTATATTTAGGCCTTAAAGGTTAAATCTATAGCCATTTTCAGTGCACTTGAGGGAAACAGGAAAATAATGCATTTTATTTTATTTTCCTTTGTAAAACCCTATTCTGAAGCCTCCTTATGACATAAAGGTGACCCTGAGTTCTTAAAGGTTCTTCCACTGGAGTGAAAACTCTGATGAAAAGGTTTTGAGTAGAGGCCCAGAGATGTACTGTATGTCATCCAAAGACCAACCTAAGTAAGCATGGACAGGCTCAGAG